GCTCTTTGTGTTTAAGAACATCGTAGAAAAAAATTTTTATGGACACAATTTTAAATAATGCTAATTTGCATAATTTATTAACTATAAACACAGGTCTTTCCTCTTTAGAACACCAATGTTTTCAACTTAACGGCGAAAAAGTCGCATGATATGTATTTTTCAATATAAAAATCCGCTCTTCAGTTTTATTTTATGATTTGTAACAAGTTCTCAGATCCCAAATTTACCTGTTGGTCGGATCGCGTTATCTTTGATTTCGATCAAAATGGCGAATATTTGTGAAATTTGCAAAGCTCTGTGCGGCGCGCCATGAAGAGTGCCCAAAAGTTTTATTCCATAATTTACTTATTAGGTGTAAGTGCTTATAGGCTGTAATAGATTTGACTCTAGATCAGGTCCCACATAAGAGAAAATAGCTTTCAACCACATGTACCTCACGCATCACAAATTTCAGTGCTCGAGGTAAGTATTTTGAAAAATTTGTAACTCAGTGAAAAATATATACAGTGTAATCATTTGACCGTTAACGTAGTGGCAGAGGGTTGATCTTAGACATATAAAATAGAAAGCTTTTTAGAGTTGAAAATACGGCTTCAGCAGCGATCGACTTTTGTAGCTAAATTATGGAGGTCGGGGGGGAAACTGGGTGCCTTTGAGGTCACCTTGAAAAATATCTCGTAAAAATGAAAAAACCGGACTGATTCAAAATAAACGCAATATTTGTTCATGGGATAGAAGTATCGACTTTCACAGTAAAAATCAGGGAAATCGGTGAAGGTCCGAAATCTGCCTTATTCGTTCTTAGGTGGACAGCCTCAAAATTTCATTTTGTACAGTTATAGATAACTTGAAGACTCATAGTGACGATAATATTGTAGATGCATTTGATGTCTATCGTAGTCATATTCAGCTGGAAATGGTGTCGTAGACGAGTAAAACTTACAGTTCGAGAAGGTTAGCTTTTAGCTGTCTTAATTAGGATAATCTATTAAGCAAAGCAAAGTCGGGTAAGGTATAACGGAATCTGATCCCTTTTAGTGGTCTTCTTTATAAACTGTTGATACCATGCTATATAAATTTGTCCGATGGAGTTTCATTAGAGTCTCAGAGGCACAAGGTAATCCCTTGTGCCTGTTAAGTTAAGTTAAGTTAAGTCAAAAGGCAGGGGCCCGGTTCCCGGCGAATGTCCCAGTAACTTAACGGCACCGTAAAGCTGGTCTGTTTTCATTGTAGAAGGGGTTTAGAAGTTTTCAAAACTACTCAATAAAACTATTGGGTAAACAAAGAAAATGGACTGGTTAGGTTGCTAGAACCTACTTCCAGCACTAACACGGCTTTGGTGCAAAAATATAAAGAAAAACATAGGTGTGCTACGCGTGCAAGAGTTATTTTTTGTTGGATAGATTGGACAATTTGTGCAACTGATGTTTTCATTTTCGTAAAAGAAAAACAGCAGAACTTTCAACAAACTCACGCAGGTATTTTGTGGTCTGTTGTCTCTGTTGTCTAAATAATTTTGAGCATAAAATAAAATGCATCTGTAGTCTCCTTCTCGGCCTTTAATCTGTTTCGTGTCATCACGCAACGCCCTATCTCTTCCCCGCTGGAGGGAGAGCGAGTTGCGTGACGAGACCAAACGACGGTTCCGAAGGAGAGGAAGCTTGGTGCAGTTCCTTCTTTAGAGAAAAAATCAAAATCATTTGTTTACATTTAGTTGCCTCAAAACATTTTCCATGTAATTTATCACGAAAAGCAAACGGGAACAGGAACTCTGTCGTATCTCTTATAGACCCTAACCAGATATATTGTGATCTTTCCTCATCGAATGAGTGTGGAGACATGTATGAGAAAAGGATGACATTTCAAAGGAGGCTCCTTTATTGAATGTAGTCCATAGGCCAGGGTAGGTTATCCGTACCACTCAGGGAGAGAAAATGTGAGTATTTTCTGAAAAAGGTTATGTAAAAGAACGACCAAAAATCAACACGCGTGTTTACGAGTAATAAGTCATCAAAATATTTTGCAACCTCACCGGTTCCTGAGAGTACTCTCTCTTCATCCTAAGAGAAATAATCCTGGTTGCGGCTGCGCAGGTAAGCACCTGCCCATATAGAACAAAGAAAGCTGTTGGGAGGGTGGACCCCAGGAACGAGGCTGAGTCTTTGGCCGACATCATAATTGCGTTATTGTCAAGTCATTTCAACTAATAATCATAATTAAAACGTAAATTAGACCATTTCCTTAGGCCGAAAATTTGATATGATCAATGTATTATTTCTTTGCTTTATTACCAAAGAGCAGGTTTCGGACAGGGATTTCACAGTCGAAAATACTACGCCGTTATTTTGTTTCGCTCGATAATCCCGCTTCCCCCTTTTCTTCTTCTCGTGCCCTCTCCGGATTGAAGGAAAGAAAGAAAGGGCGAGGGAAAAATTAATGAAAAGAAAAAGAACAAACAAGAAAAGTAAAATAAATAAAAAGCGTAGAGAAGGAAAGTGGCGAAAACGGTGTTTAAAGTTTTGGGTGACGGGAAACGGGAAGATTATACCACCCCTCCCTTCTCCCATCCTGTTCGGGTAGAAAAGAAGAAAAATTTACATCTTTTATATATGTTACAGCTTATGGAATTGTTTATTTTTTCGGTTGATCATCATTATTATCATAGAGAGTGAAGTACTGACGATGTAATTAGGAAGTTAGCCAAATATTCTGTTGACTTCTTACTCCCATTCACGCGGAACCACTTGTGCTAATTCGTTTTCATGCGCGGTCACCCGTTGTCACTCGTGGTTACTCGTAGTTACCCGTGGTTACTTGGGGTCAGTCGGTCAGATCGCGTCCGTTTGGCCATATTTTATACATATTTGTTAGCTGATCATTGTATTTGAATCCCATAGGTTTGTCGTAACACTCATGCGTCTAGCACCTACTGCAGATGTTTTTTGGATTTTACTGACATGTTTTATCATTTTCAAACACAATTGTAAATGCATTAAATTCGAAGAAATGACTGAGACACACGAACCCTTATTGATATGGCGTTCCGGCATCCTGCTTGTTTGAGATCCTCAGTAACACAAATGTGCTTTTCAGTGACATAATAACTACAGAGTTCCGAGCCAAACTTGATTATATTTTTCCATGCAAACATCCATTATTTTCAAAAGCACAAACAAAGTACAAAACATGACCTTTCCTCTAACCCTTTAAAATTTCTACAGTTTTCATCAAGTTATTGAAACGTCTGAAGAAAGAAAAGATAAAGCCTTGGTCTAAGGTACAAACATTTTGAACATGTACGGTTAACACATATCAACATATAATTCTTCCATGGATGCTGTCAAAGCTGTTAGTAATAAAAGTTACATCAGTCATAATCGCAAAGTTGTATGTTGGTCTTTAAGAACATTGTCTTCGAGAAATATGAGGAAATATCCCATAATCGTTAGACAGGAAGTTGGATTGCTTGTTCCAAAATTGAAATTTCATCATATTTATAACTACAGAATGAAAGTAAAAAAAAGTAGATAAATGCAAATGAAGGTAGATAAATGGAAATTAAGGTAGATGAACGCAAATGAATCTTGGTTATATTTCAAGGCAAATGAAAGTATATAAAAGCGGATGAATGCAAACAAAGGTAGAGAAGGCAGATTAAAAGGAGATGTATGCACATGAAAGTAATTGAATGCAAATGAAAGTAAATGAAGGTTAATGAAGGTTTATAGAGGCAAAGGAAGGTGAATGTATGTATAAATGAAGACAAATTAATGTAAACTAAGGTAGATGAAGGCAAACGTAACGAATCGAAGGTATTGAAGGCAAATGAAAGTGGATATATGTATATGAATGTAGATGAAGATAAATGAAGGTAGGTAAAGGTGAATGTAAGATGCATATTTTCGCGCAAAATGGAGGCTGTTGCGTTTATCCTTCAAACATCTTTCAACGCGCGGGAAATTTTCTTTTAAAAAGCTTACCGTTAACGTTGTGGAATTTTCAATTTTCAGCGTTGTTTGATATCGTTTTATGAACAAAAAAAACATGTTCCTTCTTCTGTAACAACCACACAACGCTTTTTTATCTTGACTTACACTTAATAACGCAAAGTTTTTCGTAATGGACGTGAGGCCGGTTTGAAAATTGGGGATTATTACTTAGGGCGTATCCTCGGACATCCCCCAGACTTGTTGGGGATATTCGGTCACGTGATGCGTTTTGGCCTATCGCGCGCAAGCGAAAATATTTGTTGGATTTTGAGAGGGTATATAAAAAGCAGAGAATACATAATCCTTATACAACTACGTAAATTATGTATAGCGGGACATTTGGTGGGTAAATACATATTTCTTTTCATAAGATTCAGAAAGATGTTGTTCCTCCGCCCCACTCAACGCGGTCAGTGCATAGTTTGTTTACAGTGAAGGTGAAATGGTCGTGCCTGTGGCCTCGGCTCGAAATGGAAGAACCCAGTGTTAAGTATATTCTTGTACGTGATCGTTTCGGATATGCATTTGAAAAAAGCTGGCTCGGTCTTACGTCGAAGGCTATACCAATACAATTGTTACCAGGCGATTTGTTTGAACGTGATTCCAAGGCTGAACAGCCTACAGACCTAACTAAAGTGGCTGTTGTCGGAATTGGACGTACATCATCACGTATTGAATGTCGCATAGAGGATCTGACTGGACTATCTGTAGAACAAGCCAACTTGCATTTGACCATTTCTTCATTTGAAGGAAGATACCAAACATTCATAAGTGGGAAACGTTTGGCATTTGGAGGACGATTGTCACCCGGAAGTGCAGTTTTCGTTGAAGTGAAAGAAATATTAAAGACTTTACCTGGTGTTGTTCGGTTTAAAGGTGAATTACCGCCCAATCTGGGAACTTGGTTTGGAGTTGAGCTGCTTGTAAGTAGTTGTTAAGTTATTTCTAGGTTATTATTTTTTGTTAAGTAGTTGTTCAGTAAGTTATTTCTGACCCTCTTTCTCGAGGGTGAATTTAGTGTGCATTTGATGAAGCCTGGGATAAGGTTGAACAGATTACCTTTCTCCTTTTAAGCCATCTAACCCTTTAGTGTTGAATTTGTTTTAGTTTTGTCTTTTTTGTTTGTTCCTATGGGCCATCTACTCAGCCACAGAGTACCATCTAAACACCAGTGGGTTTCCCTTGAACTCTCTACACAAACTAAATCACAAAACATGACTAGCAGCAATGTTGGGGACAAAGTCAGCCTTTATTATTACAAGTTTACAAATTAACTGATATTTTTACGAATATGAAACTCTTATGTGACAGATATAAGCTATAATTCAAATAATACACAAACATATTACAGAGAGGCTGTCTAATTAAAGAAACAAACAAAACACAAACAAAACAAAAACATATGAAAGACCAACACAATAAAATACTGGAAGGGATGAGGGAGAGGAAGAGGTGGTGGTGGAAGGAGGAGAAAAATTGGCCTCTAAGCGTTTAAGTGAGGTATATTATGGGCTAACAAGCCAACCAATTGAGCAACTGAACCTAAAGTGTTTAGTGTTCTCCTAAGTGCCAGGCATAGCAGTATTTTTATTAGAAAAACAACGACTTCCTTCTTCTAGACAGTACCCTGGCTTCAGCTGGTTTTGTGTTCTTGCTTACTGATCACAGTGGCATAAATGGTGGGTCTTAAAACTGAATTTGTCATCAGGAAAATTTAATTTTTCTCAATAGAGGTGTGAGGATGGTTTAGTGGCCTTTGTTAACTTCTTTAAGGGAAAGTACGGTCTATAAAAAGTTTATCTCAATTAGTAGACTTTTTCCTCAGGAAATCGAAAATAACTGCCATTTCGTCCAGTTTTCTTTTTATCAGCAACAAGAGCGCTTTGAAGTTGCCCATTTTTACAACTTTTGTGGTTAGAAAAACGCCATCTTGCATATTACGTCAGTTGTGACGTAGCAATAGTCAAATTTTGTTCGGCCCTTCGTCCTTGATGACGAGTTTGACCTTTGTGAAAACAATTTCTAACACTCCTTATAATTGAAATGAGGTGAACTGTCGTGTGGTTGAATGTCAAAATACACACTAAAATTCTAAAGGAAAAGGTGTAAGCCTCCACAAGCAACTGGGAAGTGAAATATTAAAGAAAAGTTGGCCGGCAAAAATAACCCGGCGAAGACGGCTTGGCAAACCCTGCAAAACCTCAACTGCCAAAACATAGACTTCCAGCGAGACATACAGACATGTAAGTTTTCCTTGTTGACCCTCGCTTCGAACTGAAAGCGGATGCTTACCTTTTCCATATTCAACAAAAATTTCAGTAATCTATACTATTAACTTTTTCAAACCATTTTGCCGTAAGCGAATAAATTGAAGCTCGAAATGGTGGTACACCTTGTGTGGTAAATTCTCAGTCGCCACCCTTAACAAAACCGATTTTCAACTGACATCATTCGCTTTTCCAAGCAGTTTATAAATATACACTGTCAGTTCCTAAAACTGTTATGAGTCCACCGAGTAAATTTTCTTTACTCACCATTCACATTCTCCTGAAAAAAAAAAAAAAAAACTAAATGACATTTGATACATCGCCGGCAACTAATCAAGACACGTTTGCGATAAATAAAAATTATACTTCGTTAGGTAGGCGCCCATATTTCACTACATCGTGTCGGTTGGACACCACAAAAGTAATATGAAAATATTTATGTCTTCCAACCAACTACTTCACGTAATTATGCAGGGCCTATGCTATCAAACAAATCGAAAGTTTCATTTCAGACTAGATTTACACTAGAGGAGAGTTTTCCGGATTCGTAAATGTTTCCGGATTCATCAATTTTGGAGTATTCGGATTCGTAGGCGTTTACACTGAAAGGATATTCGGATTCCTGACCGTTTACACACAACGACAATTCCGGGAACATTCGAAATGGAATGGTGACCAAGCCCAGTGTTGTTTCGTCGTTCGATCAACAAAGTGAAAATGCCTCCCCCAAAAAAGGCTAGATTAGATCCAGATGCCACTGAGGCAAATTTGAGTTGGACAAATGCCAAGCAGTCTACGTCGTCGGCAATTAAGTGTGGCTGACGTTAAACTTCCTTGCAATAATAATTTGCGTTTCTTCAGAAATACTGCGGTACACATGGTAAAATTTATCGACTGAACCTGCAACAAGATTAGGCAACCGGAGATCGCCAGCAATGTTAGCACCAGATCCATTTTGGTTTCACCGCAAACTCAAAAGATTGCAGGTGGAAATAATATCCGGATTCGAGAAAAAAGGCGGTTACACGACAAAACTTTCCGGATTCAAAAGTTATCGGATTCAAAGTTCCCACTTTAAATTCCGGATTCAA